TCAGGGGCGTTCCAGAGAGGACCAACAAGCGGGCAGCGCAAGAACGGCAACCACGCAAACAAGTCGATACTCCACTGATCCATCGCCTGCGTCACAAATGCACGATGCACGGCCAAAGCATGTACGCTACAGAACGACCAGCACCCTACAGTTAACCTCGCACCACCACAGCCACAAGATCGTCCTTGAGCAACCTTGAACGACATGCCAACTAGGGTCATTGCACGGGCGCAGAGTTAGATTGCACAACACCCCTCCTGCTCAGCATTTGATGGTCATCTTCGATTGAGCCATCATCGAACCCTCAGAGCGAATGGCTTCCGAAGTGGCTCATCCTTGCGGGAGGAGCCAAGGGCTCGGTCAGGTCTGGCCACAAACGCACGAAACACTAGCCCTGTCAGCAAGCCGTAACGCCAGGCAGACAAACAGAGGTCTGCACTGGCTGACTAAGATTGCACATCCCAATGAAGCGCTGCAGAAATGGGTCAATCCGGGGCGTTCCGGAGAGAACCAACAAGCGGGCAGCGCAAGAACGGCAACCACGCAAACAAGTCGATACTCCACTGATCCATCGCCTGCGTCACGACTGCACGATGCATGGCCAAAGCATGTACTCTACAGAACGACCAGCACCCTAGAGCCAACCTCGCACCATCACAGACACAAGATCGTCCTTGAGTAGCCGTGAACGGCATGTCAACTAGGGTCATTGCACGGGCGCAGAGTTAGATTGCAAAAAACCCTCCTGCTCAGCATTTGATGGTCATCTTCGTTTGAGCCATCATCGAACCCTCAGAGCGAATGGCTTCCGAAGTGGCTCATCCTTGCAGGAGGGGCCAGGGGTTCGGTCACGGGAGCACCGTTTTATTCGCGGCGAAGACGAGCGTTCTGGGGGGAAGGGGGGGAGGCGGGGGAGGGGGGGGCATAACGAAAAGCCCCCGCTCCCCACCGAGACAAACTGTAGTGCCAGAAGCACTGCGGCAGTGACGGGGACGCACGGCGAGGGGTAGCGCTAATTTAGGGAGGAGGGGAGAAGCATAACGCGAGATATGGCCAAGAGGGTGAAGGAGCACTCTTCAGGTCTGGCCACGAACGCCCGAACGATTAGTCATGGCAGCAAGATGTCAGAGTGAGGGGGCCGAACGGTCATTCATTGTCCCTGGGTGCGTGGCTGAAGTGGGGATCCGTGGTGAGGATTATGCTTGCTGTGTTGTTGGTGTTGATGTTGTTGTTAATGCCGTTGGTGTTGTTGCTGCTGTTGTTGTTGCTGATGCTGTTGTTGGTGTTGTTATCGTTGTCGTTGGTGTTGCTGCTGCTGTTGCTGTTGCCGTTGCTTGCTGTTGCTGTTATTGTTGTTGGTGTTGTTGTCGTTAATGTTGTTGTTGTCGTGAATGATGTTGTTGTTGCTGTTGTTGTTGCTTTTTGTTGTCGCCGTCCCATCCGCGACCCACCCGCGACCCACCCCGCGACCCACCCGCGACCCACTCCGCGACCCACCCGCGACCCACCCCGCGACCCACCCCGCGACCCACCCCGCGACCCACCCCGCGACCCACCCCGCGACCCACCCCCGCGACCCATCCGCGACCCACCCGCGACCCACTTGCGACCCACCCGCGACCCACCCCGCGACCCACCCGCGACCCACCCTGCGACCCACCCGCGACTCACCCGCGACCCACCCGTGACCCACCCGCGGCCCATTTGCGACCCACTTGCGACCCACCCGCGACCTACAAAATTGGTTTAACGAGAAAACCGGCGCCTGCGGCGGGCTCGTTGTATGATTTGTGCAACTTTGGCGCCTGCGGCGGGCTTCTCCAGAGACTCGCAAACTGCCCACGTCCCCACCGCCCCCTCACTCTTATCTACATCTGCGGGGTGCCACGTAACGCCAGGCAGATAAACAGAGGTCTGCACTGAATGACCGCACATCCCGACTAGGCGCTGCAGAAATGGACCAATCCGGAGCGTTCCAGAGAGGACCAACAAGCGGGTAGCGCAAGAACGGCAACCCCGAAAGCATGCCAGCGAGTACACAACACCCCTCTCCCTGCTCAGCATCTGATGGCCATCTTCCCTTGAGCAATCCTCGAACCCTCAGAGCGAATGGCTTCCGAAGTGGCTCATCCCTGCGGGAGGGGCCGTGGTTCGTGCGGGTCTGGCTACGAGCGCCCGAACGATCAATGCTGTACGCAAGCCGCAACGCTGGGCAGACAGAGATCTGCACTGGCTGACTAAGCTTGCACATCCCAGCGAGGCGGTGCAGAAATGTGCCAAGCCGGGGCGTTCAAGACAGGACCAACAAGCGGGCAGCGCAAACGCGGCAACCCAACACGCATGCCAACGTGTGCACAGAACCCCTCATCCTGCTCAGCATTCGATGGTCATCTTCGTTTAAGCCATCATCATCATCGAACCCTCAGAGCGAATGGCTTCCGAAGTGGCTCATCCTTGCGGGAGGGGCCAGGGGCTCGGTCAGGTCTGGCCACAAACGCACGAAGCACTAGTCCTGTCAGCAAGCCGTAACGCCAGGCAAACAAACAGAGGTCTGCACTGGCTGACTAAGATTGCACATCCCAGTGAGGCGCTGCAGAAATGGGCCAATCCAGAGCGGTCCAGAGAGGCCCGACAAGCGGGCAGCGCAAGAACGGCAACCCCGAAAGCACGCCAACGAGTGCACGATTCGCCTCTCCTGCTCAGCATTTGATGGTCATCTTCGTTTGAGCCATCATCGAAACCTCAGAGCGAATGGCTTCCGAAGTGGTTCATCCCTGCAGGAGGGGCGTGGCCCGTTCGGGTCCAGCTACGAACGCCAGATCGATTGGCCATGTCAGCAAGCCGTAACGCCAGGCAGACAAACCGAGGTCTGCACTGGCTGACTAAGCTTGCACATCCCAGTGAGGCGCTGCAGAAATGGTCCAATCTGAGGCGTTCCAGGGAGGACCAACAAGCGGGCAGCGCAAGAAGGGCAACCCCGCAAGCCAACAAATGCACAACACCCTTCTCCTGGCTTCCGAAATAGTTCATCCTCGCAGAAGGGGCCAGGGGCTCGTTAAAGTCTGGCCACGAACGCCAGATCGATTGGCCATGTCAGCAAGCCGTAACGCCAGGCAGACAAACCGAGGTCTGCACTGGCTGACTAAGCTTGCACATCCCAGTGAGGCGCTGCAGAAATGGTCCAATCTGAGGCGTTCCAGAGAGGACCAACAAGCGGGCAGCGCAAGAAGGGCAACCCCGCAAGCCAACGGATGCACAACACCCTTCTCATGGCTTCCGAAATAGTTCATCCTCGCAGAAGGGGCCAGGGGGCTCGTCCAAGTCTGGCCACGAACGCCAGAACGATTGGCCATACCAGCAAGCCGTAACGCCAGGCAGAGAAACAGAGGTCTGCACCGGCTGACTAACATTGCACATCTCAGTGAGGCGCTCCAACAACTGTCCATCTGTGGCGTTCCAGAGAGGACCAACAAGCGGACGAATTCTGACTTACGCCTCGACGATACGCCTGCCATCCGCACGCCTGTGACCCCAGGAGAGCCCAGAATCGAATCTTAAGTCGGATCGGCGATCGAAATGAGTCGGATCGGCGGAAATCGGCAGCCAAGTCGGGAGAAGTCGAATCGGCTGAAATCGGCAAACCAATAAGGCCTCCATTCGGAAACCGGAATCCAAATCAGAAGCCGAAATCGAATCGAATCGGAATCGGAACCGACCGAATTCACATCGAATCGACTCGGATGAGTCGAAATGAGCCCTGCTAACACCCACCTCGACAATCATTTGCTGGACGTACTCTGCTGAGCCCTCACGGTGAAGACTGAGAGCACGTGGAGGATGGATCCAGATCCTCCTCCTCTTCCTCCTACACCTCCTCCTCGTCCTCCTCCTCGCTCATCCTCCTCCTCCTACTTCACCTTCTCCTCGCTCATCCTCCTCCTCCTCGCTCCTCCTCCTCCTCCTCCTCCTCCTCCTCCTCCTCCTCCTCCTCCTCCTCCTTCTCCTCATCATCATCATCATCATCATCATCATCATCATCATCATCATCATCATCATCATCATCATCATCATCATCATCATCATCATCATCATCATCATCATCATCATCATCATCA